CTACAGAAAAGATGAAATTCTGTACCACAAAAAAATTCAGATGTATCCAAAACGTGCGTACGCAGATCCCTACGCAACATTGTCTTTTGTACATATCGCAATCAGCGTGAAATTTGGAGCCACATGCATGAAGCACCATACGCCCACCACTGCCCCCTCCCTCAAATACACGATTTGAATAGCTAATTGATATATAGGCCTAGATCAGTGCTGTCTTTAGAAAATGGCAAAAGCCAGGAAAAAAGAAATTTACGAGTGTGAATTGACGGTCTGCCCTGACGGAGTAGAGGCAAAAACAATAATTTATTTTTGCGTGCAGCGAGGCAGTAAACTCGGTAGGGTCGGAGCAACCGCACCGCGTGGAGTTGAAAAAGAAGTGTCAGATATGAAGACCATATCTGCCCATCCGCAGAGCCTTAAGGCCACAGGTTGGTGAGTCCCTGTATTACAGTAGACTATATACTGTACTGCCTGTATTGTGAAGGGTTACGGTACGTAATCGTGCTCACCACGCTCCCAGTGAGCAGCTAGTTCTTGTTGTGGTGAGCTGATGCTGATGAGACGGCGCACTCGGTCGCACTTTATTGTTACTGTTAATAATATGCCAAGAGGAAAAGACACATTCAAGTGTGTTTAAACTCCTCCATACGCAGTAGAGGAACTGCCGCGCTGCATAAAGTAACCCTTTAAGCAAAATAATCCTGCAAATGATTTAAAGATGCTGTGTACGCAGTTGTTGATTGATTGTAAATAATGATGACTTTCGCGATGCAGTGCAACTGTGCCCGAGAGCAACTGTTTAATGGTCTCGCTAAATGCAATTTCAATGCATCGCCTGTTGAGGTGTCGCCAACTGACAACTGACATAAGCAAAAATGTACGTACCAGCATGACGCTGCCGTGGAGGACCGCACATTCTCACGTTCAGTTCACTTTAGTAACCATCCCAACGTGAAGACGTGAACAACTGGCGTACGGACAATTTTGTGTGTACAACGTTAGTAGCATGAGGCGCCCTGGTGTGTAAAAACCTGACTCCAATTCAGTTTTCTGAGGTCCATTAACTCGAGGCTCGAAATACTTTCTTCCACACACACTAATCAGGCTTTTTTGGTTGCTTCTCAATAAAGGACATGAAAGCCATCCACAAACATGTTTGCTTATCTATCTTTAGAACACCACTTTTACTTTTGTCCTCCGACTTACGAAAGATCAGATGCCATTCTCTACTGACCAACAATTTCACTCTCAGAAGACCCCATGAAATTCCAAACCAGGGTTCCACATCTTCACTGGTGCTCTTCTTGCCCCTGCGCTGCTAGCTGACTACGCTGGACTGTAGCAGGGTATATACCGGCGGTCTGTAACATTACTGCACTAAACATGTTCATAAACTCTTACCGTTATATACAATTTTTTCTGTACTAGTGATGAAGTCTGCGACCTCCTACCAGTCTCAGTCCGGCTTAACCGATGTTTCCAACCAGTTCAAGACTCGAGAAAGCGCGTACTCCAGGAGTCCACCCGGCAGGCAGATAGTCGGCCTCAGGTGCCAAAAAGAGCGATTGCATAGTTGTACCGATTTTTCCGTATTCTCCAGCTGTTCATACGGCAAATACTTACCAAATACAGACAGTCTAACTAGTTTGTTTGGGACACACACAACGGCCGACCACCCACAGGGGACAACACACACACACACCACAGACTGAGATACAATTCACTTGACCCACACCAGTTCTGTTAATAGTGATTGTGTACCAGTTAATCCTACTCCCTGTTTGGGCTGTGTCAGCGGTGTGTGGTTGCTCTGCAAGGAAGGCTGTCACCACATTGGACCGTTTAGCGGGAGTGGACGCGGCGGTGAGGCGTTGGTGCTTTCTAACTCATAGATTTGAACCGCGCATTGAGAGGATTTTATCATCGGACGTCTGGATCTTAAGTTATCAGAGAAACCAAGCCTGAGCTAACTTAGCAGCAGCTCTTTGTCCTTCTCGTCTGATGAACTTCGTCAAACAGAAATGAGTCTTTACTTAACGAAGCTCTAATGACTTTGAACATGTGTTTATAGTCTGTAAAACAGGTTGCAGTCACATGGTACTGATGATTTCATTGTCTTCTGTCTGTCTGTCTGTAGGTATGATAGGAAAACTCCCAGTCTGTTGGCTGCTGCCTGACTGTTGTGTAGTGGTCGCGACCCCTGAGTCTGTGTCTGCTTCTCCTGTCTGCGATGCAAAAGAAATCCAGTAAGTGAGACTGCCTTCTTGTCTGTCTGTCTGTCGCGTGTTTACAACTTTATTTTAGAACATTTAAGGTAGGAAGCGTATTGCATTACTCACTGTTAATCACTGTTTCTGCGGACTAATTTATTTCTGAGTTTTAGAGCATTTGAAACAACGACCACATTCAATTCCTTTATTGAGAGTTCGATTATACAGAAACAAACATGACGGCTTGTTTAGTTCAGTCCCAGTTTTACTTTATCTGGTTTCCAGACACTGGAGAAATAGTCCTGTCTTTAAGTCATATAGATGGTGTTATACATGTAGTGTGTCGACTCTACGCAGACAGCCTTGAGGTAGATAGTTGAAGATGGGCCATGTATGTGCGGGCAGGAGTCACCCATTTCCCCCCGGTCCATGGAGTCACTGCAGGTTGGAGGTTCTCACAGGAGTTTCACAGTATCGTCCGTATTCAGAGAAACAAACCAAAGAAAATATATGAGTCATAACTGACAAGAGTCAAAGTATCTCCATAATTCAGAGAAACAATTACTCCGAAAAACAGAAAAAAAAAAAAAAAAATACACAATTGTACTGTTTTGTAACAGTTTAATAAACAGTCACACTCAACACACACAACACACAACACATCACACACAACACTCCACACTCACCACTCCACACACACTCACACAACACTCCACCTACATCAGACACACCCCCACACTCACACACACACACACACACACACACACACATCACACTCACTCACATCACACACACACACACACACACACACTCACTCACACTCAAACACACCACACTCACACTCACACTCACACTCACACACCACTCACACACCACACTCACACTCACACACACAACACTCCACACTCACACACACAGTTCAGAGTTTTAATTTCCTCTTATTTCTTGCAGAGGTCATTCATGAGAACATCAGATATACCAACCGCACTTGTGAGTGTTTGTTCTTTATTCTCCGTCAGATAATCGAGGACTCGTGACGTCATTAAAGCTTAAAGTGATCTGTTAATAATAAAGTACATAATTCTTTATTACTTCTAAAATAACTTTTTTTAACGTTTATCTGTGCAAGCCAGCGCGGGCGGAGTATGTTCGCTGTGACACCAATCAAAACCAGGAGAATAAACATCAGCGTTGTCACCTTTAACCTCAGATAATAAACTAAAATTAGCATCTTTAACTCACTTTGACACTTTTTATTTTTCAGTCACCCAGAGCCATAGAATTCTTCAACGACAATGTATGTATATCCCTCCACACAATCACATCTGATCAATCTGATCACATCGATCAATCTGTAGTTTACAGCGTTTGAAGGACAATTGGTTTCGTCTTTTTCACAAAGAGACGAATATCAACTCTGTGTTGAGCTAGAAAACATTTTTGAGCTAAACAACAACCACCAACGCAGAAGCTGGGCGCGGCACACACACAC